ACAGTGCCCAGTTTAGCAGCAAAATCTGACTGATACTGATATGGAATCCGTTCCTTAATGACGATGCGAAAGATAATTACTTCCATGAGTTACACAGATTCAATCCCTGAGTATTACATGTTTTCCTCGATTAAACTGCAGCTGAATATAAAAACTTTGAGGTGCATTAGCTCAGCAGAAATAAGGCTTTTGAAGTCTTTCTATCACTGTTAAAAAGAAAGTGCAATATTATTATTCCTTAAGTAATATCAGTAATATCAGTCAAACAGTGACTTAGTTAAAAATCGGAAACAAACCGCTATTCGTACAGAATTTTCTAAATTGACCACGCTGTCCAACAGCAGACGGAAAAATGTAAGGAATATCAAGTAATACGAAGTATCAAGTATTTCGCTATCTTGGACCATAAGGAGATGTTTGATTCGATTGAACTGAGGCATATTAAGCATCATCAGTACTAAGCAACTTGCATGAGCATCGCTACGAACATAAAACTTGTATATGTTAACCTTATCGAGGAACTCAACACCGCAAATGACATATATATATCGCATGGGGTAGCCTTTACCTTATTAAGGGATCACTACTCAACAGTGAGCTGCTCATGCGGGAGAAGAAAGACCTGCTCGATTTAACCGTCCTATCCGCAATGATTTATGAGGCCGATATTGGCCTGCCACCAAAGCCAAGGAGGACAAACTGATGGTCACGTAAAGATATATGGAACGAAGAACGTACAAAGGCACCTTCAGGGATAATTTCCGCAGGGCACCAATATGACAACGGACTACATTAAGAGATGTGACTTCTGCCTTCCACGACGTCAAGAGATAATGAGCCGGCCGTGTGTCTTGTCAGAAAAACAACCGATGGAATTCAAAAACTATAGATTAGATTCCGCTGGACCACAAGCGTTGATCGGGCGCTCAAGAATATGCCGGAAAGACCCGATGGTCAAATTACTTGGCTAGTGGTGCAGGCAGAAAGCGGAGATAATAAAATACTGTAGGAGAGCCGACCTGAGGTCATGGAGTACTCATGACGAGGCTGAAGCCGGCTAACGCATCGACCAAAAATTAATCCCTGTGTAATCTTACACAAGACACTTTGGCAATGTCGGTCAATGAAAAGCGAGAATGAGCAGTAACAACGTTTTCTCGTATCATACGTCGTACGACATCATGTACAGTTGAAAAATTGCTTAACTGCACTGTAACTGTGAGAAAATACCCTAAGGTTAGAATTACTACTATACAATTACTAATTGTAACTTGACTACAGTATTTGGTTGTGTGTTCTGAATGACATGCTCGAACGACTGCGTGTACCACCTTAAAACAAAGCAATTGATCGAAACCACACTCGCATCCTTGACCAGCGAAATCTGTCAGTACAAAGTTAGCCGTTAACCAGAAAAAGTATACATCCATTTGCAGAAAATGATAAAACTCCTTGATATTCTGGGGCAGCTAGCGAAAATGGCAGCTTTCCGATTCCGTCGGTAAATATTCTTTTAATCACTGGTATCGGAATAACATGGCGAAAACTGGAAAGTTACTTTACAACGATAATGCGGCAGTGTAAGATGGATGGTAGTCATTGCAACAGGTCGACTGGTTATGCATCGTTCTCTTGCTTCTAGTCGCCTATGGCATCATTTAGGCAGGTATCACTTCCATGGTATCTAAGTGCCTGCAGTACATAGGCCGCAAAAACCACGTTGCCGAGTTGGACTGAGAAAAAGCTTGTTCGGACACCCCTTGTACTACGATTAACATGGTGTTTTGGCCAACATCTGCCTTACACTGATGTAGTAACACTGTAGAGTAATTAACTTTACCATACAGCTTTCGCCATGCAAATTCGGTATCAATAGTTAAAGGATTATTTTTACCAGCGGAATCGGAAAGCTGCCTTTCTTTGTAGTTGCCCCCAGAACATCAGGGTGTTTTTCCTTTCATTTTCTGCATATTTTGTCAACAGTTAGTGGCAAGTATGTTGGTGCTAGAAGTGTTTTCTCAGCCCAACTCAGTGACGCGCTATTGCGTCCCATGCACTTAAACGCCTCAAATGGCGCGCAAATGCCTTGTAGCAGTGGAATGTTTAAATGGTTTCCGCAGGCGATTAGAAGCAAGGGGACGGTATATTATTTCGGTCAACCTAATGTAATGGCTCCGTCTGCCTTACACTGCAGTACCACTGCAAGGTAAGCAACACGTTGAAATTTAACAGTTTAAATTCGGAATCAGTAAAAGGATATACAAGCAGTCAGTTCACGGATCGATGCCTGGGAACGAACGCACGTTCGCACGGATGTTAAACTTGCGAAGCTTATGTAATGCTATATAGTAGTCACTTATTTCCCATAACTTGCTATACTGAACATCTTTACGGTCACTCAGGAATGAACAGGTCGGAAGCATGCACTCATTTGTTACTTCTTACCACATACTAAATAAAGTTGAATTAAATGACAACAGGGATCGTGAAAATAAGATAAGAAATTTGCCATCTGATTCCCAAATACCGATTCACCGAACACAAAAGTATGCATGACGTTCCTCGCATTTCGCTCAAATTCTGTCAGACTCACTTAAACCAACGCAGTTATCCGGAACCTGGTACTGTTCGATCATCACGGGATCCATTCCGCAAACGGCCCTGAACTGGCGGCTAAGAAATCGTAAAAGCACTAACTTTTCTTACCCCAACGACGTAATTGGATTTCCAGCCATACTATTTGACCGCTTCGCAGCAACCTCTGAAATACACCACAAACGTCGCTTGCACAGCCAAAATTCACACAAATACAACCTTCCTTGTCCTCTTCGGCAACGGCTTCGTGAACCCTTTTTCCTGGGTCTTCCGCCCGAGCTCCAGCAGCTAACTAAAGGTACAGATGCAGAGACGCTCAAGAAAAAGTTTAACGAAACATCGAATGGTCATCAGACAAAACGGTTTCAAAACATCGAGAATAAGAACTAAAACACGCAAACACGGTACTACAAAACAGTTAGTAAACAATAACTACAAAATAGCACCCAGAAAAGTTGCAATTTAACGCTTACTTCTCTAGCCCTTTTAAGCGCATCTGCAATGTCAGCATTCGACAGCTGGCCAGTCGCCATCACGGAGTCCACGGCAGAGCGCCGCCATAAACATGAAAATTGAACGAAAGTTTTATAGCAAATCCGGAAACAATACCTGTTAATCGACAGATAGTTCTGACACGAAGTCACTGGACACGTAGCAGCAGCCGTAGTGGTGTGAACTTCGCCAATGAATAGGAGATCGGTACTTTCTCGGGTAATCTCGTCTAACAAAATAATCAATAACTTAAAATCACTCCAACGTTACGGTTACCACTCACCAAGTAAAAATAAGATTTTCAAGTTACAGTATTCTACATTATACAGAGAACGAGAATGAGGAATTTCTAAGGCAATTCGATGCGTCTACGCTCATCGCTCGCAGATTTGACTCCACCTAGCGGAAGAACGTCGCCGATGTGCGCTCACTGTGACGGCGCTGCGGCGCGCTGGCGGCCGTCAAGCAAACCTTTTGGCATCCGTGAATGAAGTGCACACCCAAACCGACTGTTCGCATGATTATTTCGGTTAGACGTAAGTTGTTAGTGTTTAGATGTTTGCTGTCGCATTAGCCGTTATGTTGCATCGGTTTAAGCTTCTGCTTTTTCAACAGAACTTTTGGCGTGATACGGAATATCGCTTTTATTCCGATGTTTCTGCGTCTTGGACAGATGCAACTTGAAAGTATACTACTTGAACAAGCTCACCAACATATCTTGTTTTTCAGCGCAGATAAAAGAAAATTAAGTAGCAAATGTATAAATGGCAGTGAGAAAAAAAGGCAAACAAATGAAACTGATAGTGAACAGAATAACTATAGCCGATTTACTGCGCAACGGCAGCAAAAGAACCAGAGTTCCTGATGAGTTCATATCTTTGTCATCAACTCGAAGCCATACCTATACTGCCAAGCAGGGCGTCCAAAAACATGACTCCGCTTTCCCACGGCTTGTGCCTCGAATCTTGTAACTAAGCAGTGCAAGAAATGTGAAAAAAATTGAATTTTTTGTCCGAACGCTGTTTTTTGGGATCGAAGAATTGAGCTTATCGAATACAAGGACCTCTTTAATTCAGTCATCTCTTTT